TCGGAAGAGGTGGCCCAGAGAGGCTGTGGAGTCTCCTTCCTCAGAGGCAATCAAAAGCTGTCTGGACACAATCATGGGCAGTGTGCTCTAGGTGACCCTGCTGGAGCAGGGGGTTGGACGAAATGATCTCCAGAGGTCCCTTCCAACCTCAGTCATTCTGTGATTCTGTGATTAAAAACACTTTAGAACCCTGACTGGAGCAATCTGAATCCTGAATAATGTTAAGTTTGGGACAAAGCTAAGAAAGCCATGTGTACATAAAGTTACATATGCTAAGAACAACAGTAATAATCAGTCTGCAATGAAAAAAACTGGAGATGATAGTTCTCTAAATAAGCTCTAAATGTCTTAGGAACTTATCCAGTCACTTACGAGGCATTTTTGCAAGATAAAAATTGCTTCAGGAGACTGGAAACATTTATATCACAAATGAACATTCAAAAAATTAGCCATTTTATTCAAATTCCACACAAAAAAGATATAAAAATCATCATTATAGTTTTCATGGCCATATTTAAACTTATCTATGGTATTTACAGACCCTTATCTACTTAGAATAATGAATACCAAGACTCTTAAGTAAATCAAAGCAGCTGTAAGGCACAGAAAGCAAAAATTCAATAGTGCCCACTATGCACTCATTCTATTAAAAATACACCAATCTGAAGTCTCATGTGGAAATCAGAAGAGATTTTTTAACGTAAATACTTGCATCTTGAAGTTACAGGCCTCAGGTACCCAACTTCTTCAAAACTAGCTCCCATATTGGAGCCTCAGAGAGCCTCAAAACTGTACACATTATGACTACATACTAGATGAATACATTCAATGAGAGAAGCTGCACAACAAAAGCTCAACGTTTCCAATTTTAGATGATTTGTTATTTCATGAATATTTAGAGCATTCATGAAAGGTACCCTCAGGATTGCTGGAACCTCTTACTGAAATTGACAGGGAGTATAAAAGGGAGAGAATAAGAGTTACAAGGTTACTTGTTGGAAGTTTTTCCGCTAGCTAGGTTGCATTTCCTTGCAAAAAGATAACTGTAAAACTCACTTTTAAGCAGATACTACCGCTTCCATGTGCCAATTAACAGAAAAGAACTTTTAAGTAAATTATGGTTGTAGCTTGCTTTTTTATATTTTCCTCATAGCTGTAATGAAACATTCTACAAATAATGTTATAAAAGCCCACAGTGATAATCTGTCATCTCAGCCAAAAATAATATCCACGTTTTCTAACACAGTAGTTTTACACCTTATTTGGAAGCTAAGTAACAAAGTCTTTCAGGCCACCCTCAATCTCAGCACTACATCACGCTTCCTCAGAGTCAGGAAAAGGCCTGACACGTTTTGATCTCTCAGGTGATGCAGGTGGCTATCCAACAGTTGTTTCTGCTACTGGGGAAGTGTGTATCCTCACTAAATGACAATTTCTCAGCCTATTACTCCTGCAGCTCAAATTATACAGATCTAGAATAGAGAGGTAAGAAGCAACTGTAGCTCTGGATACAGATATCAGAATTGTTACAGATACATTAGACAAATTTGTTCATTTATTAAAGCAAAGGAATAGGGTCGATTAAG